ATAACTGACTTATTATCTCTACGGCACGACTTTTTACACGTTGTTATCTCGGATCCGTCTAGTTGCACGTTTTCCTGTGATCATCTCATGGTGTTTGGTGTAATAACGAGTCTACGACAACAAAATCGGAATTTATTCATTTAAAACGTACTTTCGCCAATAAAGTCTTCAGGAATTTCTGTGGCTATAATTATTTTAATCTATCCTGACGAATTCAAGCATTTCCAGAGAAAACCTGGCTTAAGACTAAGATTCAGTACCATTTTTTAGGTCACATTCGTTTAGTTGTTGCTAAAACAGGGATTCCGGAAAAGTAACCTTTAACGTACCAGCTCACTTGCTTCCATGTTATCTTACAATCCCCAGATAATAAGTATGCGCTTTGAATGGTTTATAGTAGTTGTAATAAAATGCTAATCGCATGGTTAATTATATATATATCTTCCGCCATTTTCGGCTTTTGGAGTCAGTGGCAAGCCACTGAGTTTTATAACTATCATCATCCATAACTACGCAAGAATTCCTCTATCCTCGCTATGGCCTTAATATCACTTTCCCAGTCCTCATTTTTTTTAATTCTATCAAAAAATATGTCTGGCTAGACTCACTGTTTTGCGTCCGTCGCTTCTTATGCGCGGAAAAAGACTAGCAGGTACGATAAGGAACACCTTCAGTGTGTCAATCATCTTACGCACGTCTGATTCTGTCCATATTTAATCCGGACGGCATTTTCCAACTGGCGCGGCGTGATTGGCTGATCTTTGAGCTAGAGAGACGCGCACCGAGGTTCCTCGCGAATTCACGCTCTGGGATTTCGCGTTTGGATAGGGGCATGTTGATTTGCTGACTCACACATGCGCAAGGCAGTTGAGACTGCTCTGCTGCAGAGTATTTTGCTTCTTTCCGCGGACTGTGATTGATAATTGAAGTGTGTAGCGTTCCTGACCACCTTAACAAGCAGGTGAATCTTCCGCGTCCAGTAACGAGAGTAAAAGTTGCCTAAAACGCAGGAGTACGACTTGACATCTCTTCTGAGCTCATTAAAACTGGTATATATGATTTGCCATATCAAACGGCCTCTTTCTCCGCTGTTATATAAATAATTGATTTTAGGTGTTCGCAACGCGTAATACCCAACCGAAAATTTGTGGTTTCAATACCTCCTTGGTAGCCATCTTGTGGGATTGTGGCAAAGAACACTAAAATGCGTGTGACTTTGCAAAACCTGCTGCTTATTATCTTTTCAGGTATATCAAATAATTTGACTTGATCCTCCAGAACCTACTGCCGCTACCTATTCAGACATGAAACCTGAGGTGCTTTGCTTTAAGACGATTTTTAAACCAAAAAACGTCATTGACTCATTTTAGATATATAATAGCTGCGAACATTGACAATGATCTCACAGGCTGGTAAACATTCAGAAAGTAAAGCCGGTGAAGCTTTAATTACAGGAGCTATTTAACTTCGGGATAACCGAAACTTTTCCAATTCAGTTAAAACCTAGCCTTTTATCTGATTCCATTTTGCATCCTGGATTTTAATCCAAAATGTAACGTTAAGCAAATTTCTATTTTAA